ATGGACAGAGCTAGATTGAAAATTAGCAGATGGTTTCTAAGGGCCCTGCTACATGTTCACATTAAAGCTGGATAGAAACCAGCTATAGAGTTGTTACCCATTTTCAAGCACTAACATTGTAGCTGCTTGGCTCTTTTTATAGCTGGGCAGTTATTTTTATGGTCCAACTTTGCACATGTGGCTGGTCTAAAGTTATTGAGTGATTAACCAGTTAATTGCATAATATATGTAATGTGTAGCAGGGGCCTACGAGTGCTCTTTCAAGCAAAGTACTAGAAGCGAAGAACCTGAAGCACTTGAAGAGCAAACTCAATTTATAGAAGAGAATGTTAGGTTAAGCAACGTTCTTGGTTCAACAATCTGCATGTGAGATATCTAGAATCATGGATTGTCAATCACCCTGGTGGGGTATAGAGATAATGCTCTTGCACTGCAGGTAGATGCCATGTTTCAGCAGTTTTGCTAGTTACCTCTAGGCAGGAGGAAGGAAGCTTTTTTTCTTCATGAATGCTACTAGCTTCTGGGATTTTTCTCCTTCTAAACCACTGGACATGAGCCATAGCTAAGGTTAGAGGGTTTTGATTGGAATATACTGGTGCTCCTGAAAGTACTTAGAAAGCTCATATTTTCCTGTTGAGAAAATTTATAGAGCTTTTTTCTGTTTATGATTATACTGCTTGCCAAATTTGGAATGAGGAATTTTTTGTTAAGATCAGATTGATGAGGTTTGGGAGGCAGAGGTGACCCAAGCAGGGTGCAGAGTCCAGGGCAAATCAGCCCATGCGCCCCCCCCCCAGTCCTATGGGCCCTGGACCCAAAGAAGCTGTCGTTGCAACTGACGGCAGTGGCAGCAGGGGGAAGTGGGGTAGTGAGCAGCTGGAAGGGGAGCCAGCACTCACCCAGCTGCACACTGCTGCTGCTCTGCCCGGCTCTGCGGGGCCCCCCAAAGTGCATGGCCCCCTGGGGCAGTCACCCTGATTCACCCCACCCTAGGGACGGCCCTGTTGGGAGGAGGGAGAAGTTGCCTTTTCTGTAGCAGGTGGCATGGTCCTTTTCCTACTATCCTCTGAGCATATATTACCTTTTTGTCACTGTAGCACCAGAGCAGGTCACAGCTGCTTTTCCTTGTGGCAAGTTGCAGGGTATTCCCAGTGTTTCCAGTGTTCCAGAGTGTGCCTGTTGGTTGTGTGTGGGGGACTGAATTGGCAATTTTAAGAAACTTCGGGTGAATAGCTGTCTATGAATAAAGGGGACAGCCAAGTGTAGTGGGCAAACTGAGTTATGCTAAGGCTCTTGGCAAGAGTCAAGGCAGTCCAGACCTTCCCAGAACTAAGCAACAAAACTGAACAGAGCACCTTCTATGGCACTGGGAGATGTGCCTTCTGTGACTGGGCACTAGGCAAACAAGGCACAACAGTTTCCCTATAAGGAATGTGCTTGGCACAGTGTCAGGGGATTGGACAGTTAGGGATGGGAAAAGTTACAAAAGTGATGGACAAACAAAGGGAAGGCGTATGTAGCATGCTCTGGCCCTGGGAGGACAGACATGCTGTTGAGTCCCTGCTTGAACAGCGGGGAGCCAGAAACTAAGATCCCACACACCCAGTGGAGGACCCAAGGTCTGGTACCCCTGAAGGTTGCTGCTGTAACGTCTAAGGAGCCACTTGCCAGGTCGTATTATGGGGAGGAAACGTAATATTGCCTAGGGGTTACTGTTAAAGTTCACTTGATACCACATTGGACGAATTGCTGTGTCACTCCTTAGGGAGCTCTGGCAAAAAGAACTATTGGTAACACCAAGGAGGTCCCCATCAGTCCTATCTTCCTATCTGTCCAGCACAGAGAAACAGCACTCCCTCTTACAAACTGCTGACTCTGGTCCTAACTGATTTGCGTGAGAAGTTACAGACAGAATTAAGGAATCAAATTCACAATCCTGGAATGGCAGAACAACATACCTAACTCTAAATTAACCAAGTTCATTAAAAAGAGTGAGCTGTCTTCCTTATAAAATGACAGTTAAAAGAGACAGTGGCAGGGAGTGTGGTTATGCTCTGAGTTTGGGTACCTGTCTGTTTTTAGCGTAACAGAATTCCTGCTTTGTATATAAGAACTTTTATGATAAGTGGCTCATATTTAAACATATAAAAAGAAGATGATAAAATAAGAGAGGAGGAAACAGCAAGAGCTGGTATGAGTCAAGCTGAGAGTGAATTGAAAGTACTCTTTTTAACCTTAATCTATGTTGAGCCCTGTCAGCTACTGAAAACTCTAGCTTCTGCAGTGATGGTCTTCACGGACAGGTTTTTTTTTATTATGAGGTCAGAGATATTAAAAGAAAGAAAGAAAGAAAGAGAGAGAGATTAATCTGATAAAGGCATTGCCATTTCTAATCGGACTGATGGGAAAATGTGGTACAGAGGTAAAAGGCAACACAGGGTGAATTATTGTGAAGTGATGAACTACCTTGAAGCTGGAGCAATCAAATAGATAGCTCTCACATCTAAAAATTACTGTGGCATCTTTATTCATCAACAGTTTTGTGCAAGTCTCTCATGCTCAGACTCCCTCCGCAAGGAACAAAAGCACTCCGATTTATTTGGTCAAATTAAATCTTAAAAGGAGGGACTTGTCTGAGTTGGCCATTTCTTACTTACTAGAATTAAAGGACATTCATTTTCTGCTGCAGCACAGAAAGACAAACTTCAATGAAGTATTTTAAGATATAAAAAGTATAGCAACAAATATTAGTACTTGTCTCCAATTATAACACTTCTGCTTTTACTGGTATTGTTTATAAAGCATAGTATATTTTTTCTCCCTCTCTTGCAGTTTTAATTCCATCTATTAGGCATCTAAGTGGACTTAGGCACTTAAGTACAGCTCTATTCTACCTTGTCCAAGTCCTGAAAATCCATTAATGCATCTACTTTTGTAATAAACAGTTGTCTTACCCTTAAGACTGAGTCACAGAAAAGCAGTGAGGAGGAGTGGGACTCGCCCACCTTTTTATTTTTTTTCACTCTCAAGCAGGCATATAAATCCACCTATGTGCCTTACAGGTAGAAGAGAATCTGGCCACTAGTCTCCTCTCCTTTAACTACTGCAAGATTTATTAAAACTCTTTGGGTGTGTCCATACGAGATGCTTTACTGTGCAGTAGACTAATCTACTGTGCAGTAAAACATCACCGTCTACACATGTGGGGCATTTACTTCTTCCAGGAGCCGGGAGCCAATCAGTGCCGGGACTGGGGAGCTCTCTACCCCCATGCAGGCCCCTGGCTCCTACCGTACAGATGGGAGATCCAGAGGGAGAGCAGGGGCAGGGAACCCACTCACCCTCCAAAGCAGCTCTGTGCAGCATGGAATTGGGAACTCCTGGGGCGGGGCTGGAGCTGGGTTCCCAAGGTAGCTGCTAGTGAGCCTCCTGCTGAGTGGGGATGCCTGGGGCTCACCAGCAGCTGCTCCACTTGTGGTATAGTTCCCAGCCAGCTCCCTGCTGAGCAGGGGGTCCTATTCAGTAGGAGACTCATGGACAGCTGCCTCACATCTGGGAGAGCTCCTGGTGAACCCCCTGCTAGGCACAAGGTGAGAAGCACTCTGCCAGCTGCAGCGGTAGCTATCCTCCCAGCCCTGTGCACATCAGGTCCCATCCCAGTGTGCACTGGGCCAAGAGACAGCTGCTGCTGCATCCAGCAGAGGTCTCCTGGCCCCATACACATTGGGACCATCCCTGTGCCCCTTGCCAGCCCCCAAGCTAGATCCTGGGGGAGTCTGGATCTCCCCCCGGCTGCTGCAGAAGTGCAGAGCAAGGAAAGAGCAGCCCTGTACTGGGCTGTTCCTGTTGCAAATTTGCTTCCAACAGGGTGTATGTGTAAATGTAGTCGCAGGGAAGGCTTACTATGCAGTCTTTTACTGTGCAGTAAGCCTAAAGTGCATTAGTAGGATGTCTAAATGCACCCTCTGAAATGGGATTGAAAATATTTTGGTCCCATGTCCACTAGTATTGCATACTAGCATTTAAACTATTTTCAATACTGGCTCAGGTGGGTTTATGGATGAAAACCTCTGCCAGCAGTGGTTAATATTCTTAGTATCTGGAGCACTCCTCTGTGTGCATAATACCAAAAAGTAATGGGTGGCGTTTGCTCATTTTGATGTAGACAACAAGCCCACATTGTAAAAATTTAGGAATAAAATGTTGATTTCTATTGAGATATCAGGTAGTTGCTAATATTCCAATTACATGAGGAAAAAATACATTACCTCAGACGATTTAGATAGGAAAATGCTACATAAATACAATCCATTCACTATATTTGAAGAACGAAACTATGGTGCAATCCTGGGAGGTGCTGAACTCCTCCCTAGGGGGTAATGGATGTGTGCCATTGATTTTCATTAAGTTAACATGCAACTAAGGTGCTCAGCACCTTGTGTTCTTATGCAAGAACACAATGTTGTGAGTTTGAGTCTTTTAGGCACAAAAATATGTTCATTCTTGCCTATGTATCACGTGGCTGCTTTGTACCACGACCTTCCATATATGAATCTGTTTATGTCAAGTTTTCTGGACCAGGAGTAAAAGAAGACGTATATAGAGATTAATTAGATGCACAAAAAGTTTCGTGTTCCTTATGTGCAAAATTGGTGGAGGACTGTAGTTTTCTTTTTTAACAATGAAGTAGCATAGAAAACAAAGAAGGGCTACATGATTTAAGGCAGTATTTGCTATAAAAAATGACCTACTCTGATCTCCATGAAAGCCAAGATAAAAATATTCACTGATTTTTAATAGCACTTGAATCACGTCCAAAGGAGAAAGTTTACCAATGTTGAAAATAATGAGTAACAGTGATATAGACTAGATATCTAGATAAATCTAGGTACTAGATTTACATACTTCAGAAAACAATAACCTAACAGTTCTACTTTAGTGAAGTTCTCTTTCATAACTGTAACAAAAACACTTTGAAGATACGATCAAAAGTCTTTTAATTGATTTAACTGATTACAATGGGTTTTGTATCAGAAAAGATAAAGGAGGTACTTTGAAAAAGCAATACTAAGAGCTAGGAAGTTTTCCTAAGTCGTCATTACATTTGCCAGAATGGTAATATATATGATATGAAGGTCTACATTGAAATCAAGTAGAGAAGGATATAGGTTGCTAGAGAGTTTTTGATATTAAGGTCTACACTGCTAAAAATAAAACAGAATAACACTATTTTGCTGTAGGTGTAGCCTACATTGCATTAGAGAAAACATTTACAATAATTTGTGAAGAGTTTAATTAACATTTTGCTTTGCATTTGCTTAAAGATTTTTATAATTTACTTATTAGGAAGTCTAACTCTAGACAAATGCAGAGTTGGTTATACTATTTGCCCAGCTCTTGAATATGTTTTTCCATGCCTATCGAAGAGATCAATTGGTGGTAACACGGTTTCAAAGTCCTAGAGTAAAGAAAAAAAGAGAAAGATAGTTAAATTTTGATTTTAAGTAATAGAATTATTTTATTTTTTTTACAATTTGTTAGTATGTTGTATAATTTCACTGGTCTTCCCTTTTGATTTTCCTATTACCTATGGTAGAGTTTAGGATGTAAGTTACACTTACAAAAATACTTCTCTTGTATGATGAAGTATATTACACAGCTATCCATTGATTATTCTCACATAAGTGTATCAGACTTGGGAGGAAATTCAGGATGAACTGACTAACTATATTTATATAAATAATTATATATTGTACATAACTGCAAGCATTGCACACTTTTTATTTCTCTGAAACGCAGGCTGACTGTGGCTAGGTACAGAAATTACACACAAACTGGTATAAGTGATTGGAAACTGGTCTAAACCTATAACAGAACAGAAGTTCAGTGTACATAGACCAATTTAAAAATTTCAGAACCTGGTGTAAATCTGGATGGATGTAGTATCAGATTTAATTGGTTTAGGTTAGATTGGTCTATCAAATTTCTGTGCTGGATCCCCTCAGGACTCAAGTTAGGTCACTGTCCCCCAGCATCCCAGGATGCTTGCAGCTCCCCTGCAGGGTGGGTGGGCTAACCTTGGCCTATGTTCATCTGCTCCAGCACAGTGCCAGGGCAGCTCCAACCTTGGGCTGTCATAGAGTCTAGACAGCAAAGCCTCTGCAACCCAGCCCTGTGGCCTGCCTGTGCCTGTCAGCTGGGCTGTGCAGCATGGGAAGGGAGGGGCAGGCAGGGAGGGAAGTGGAGGCCCTGGCCCTGGCCCTGGCCCCGGCCAGAACCACTGGGGGGAGGGGTACATGGTGGTGGCTTTCCCTCCTCCCCCTCTAACTGGTCCACTGCAGCTTCATTTCCCAGACCTTCCCCCTGGCAATAGTTCTGGCTGGATCAGGGCAGACACCTCTGCTTTCCTTCCTTTCCCCGCTTCTCCCTTCCAGCTGCTAACAGCTGACAGGGGCCTGGGGTGGAGAAATGAAGCCACACTAGGCCAGTCAGTGGGGGTAGGGAGAAAGCCCCCACTGCATGCACCCCCAATAGTTTTGGCTGGGTCGGGGTGGGGGGGCAGGGTTGAGGCAGGGGGGTCCGCGCTCCCTCTCTTCCCACCCAGCCACAAACAGCTGGCAGGGGGCAGGGCTGGGGAATGAAATGTGCTGAGTGAGTCAGTAGGGGAGAGGGGAAAGTCCCCCCTCCCCCCCCGCCGTGTGCCCTCCTCCTGTGGTTTTGGATTGGCGGGGGAGGGCTGGAGGCCTCTGCTCCCGACTGCCACTGGCAGCAGGGGATTGGGGGCATGTGCCCAGCAGGCAATCGGGCTGAGTATGAGATGTTCTAGCATGGATTTCTGTACTGGGAAGTTCCAAATCTAAACTTACCTGGCAAGGGAAATGCCGTGACCACTAAGGTGATTTTCCTAGTTGCTGGGGATAACCACTTTTCTGGCATGGGATAGTTCCCATGGAGGTAATGTATAGTTAACCTCCCACTTCCATTTCCAGTGAGAAGATCTTGGCTTTATGCCCACCTTATGGAAATGGGAGACTCCTGCCTAGCTTGCTTCTGTGGCCATGTGGCTGAGGGCAAGCAAAACTCGGGGGCATCTGAACCCCAAGCCTCTGGGCTTGGGCCTGCACGTAGGATGCCCGCCAAATGATTTGGAAGCATCTGAAGCCCCAGGTGGGGGTGAAGAATGCTTGCCAGTAGCAGGCCCACATATGATTCTTGAATGACTCACGGATTCGGAATTGATTTGGCTGATTTGACTTGGAACGTGAAAATTTCTCCTTAAAAATAAAAAAAAATCATTTTAAAAGTTCCAAATCTTTGGGGCTGTAACAAAGGCTACTTTGGACTTTTTTCATTGTTCCTAAAAAGCTGCTGATATCAGCAAAATTAAAGCTTTTACTACTTCTCTTTTTGGATGACATTATAGTCTCATAGATTTCATAGATTTCATAGACATCAGGGCTGGAAGGGACCTCGGAAGATCATCGAGTCCAGCCCCCCGCCCAAAGGGCAGGAAGTCAGCTGGGGTCATAGGATCCCAGCAAGATAAGTATCCAGTTTCATCTTGAAGGTGTTCAATGAAGGCGCCTGAACCACCTCCGGTGGCAGGCTGTTCCAGACCTTGGGGGCTCGGACAGTAAAGAAATTCTTCCTTATGTCCAGCCTGAAATGATCTTGAAGTAGTTTGTGACCATTCGACCTCGTCATCCCTTGGGGCGCTCTGGTGAACAAACGTTCCCCCAGAT